ATAAAGAGCAGTCAGGGTTGATCTCCTCTAGGACTGACCGGTTTGATCGCCTTGCGGTCCAAGGGACTCGCAGGAGTCTCCTCCAGCACCACAATTCAAGGGCCTCAATCCTTTTGCGCTCAGCCTTCCTTATGGTCCAGCTTTCACAGCCATACATTGCAACTGGGAAAACCATAGCCTTGGCTATAGGCACTTTTGTCGGCAGGGTGATGTCTCTGCTTTTTAGTATGCTGTCTAGATTTGCCATAGCTTTCCTCCCCAGGAGCAAGCGTCTTTTAATTTCTTGGCTGCAGTCCCCATCTGTGGTAATCTTGGAGCCCAGGAAAATAAAATCTGTCACTACTTCCATTTCTTCCCCATCTATTTGCCAGGAAGTGAGAGGACCGGATGCCATGGGGAGGGGATATTTGTAAGAATGCTTGTCTTGGGAAGCAAGAGGTTCCTTTTCTCTCCATTTTGCAAAGTGGGGGGTTAGAGCTGGTAGACCTACTGCAGTCATGGAGGAGAGGAGCTAAGGAAAGATCCAGGGCAAGAGGTGTTGTCTTCTGTTCCCAACTTGGGAAGAGGGATTCATGTTTCACTCACCCAGGCAACTTTGGAGGTCTACAAGTGCCCTCTGGGCTGTTTAGAGAACCAAACTGGTCACAGAGAAGAGTGTGAATGTGTTATGTTACTTGTCTAGATTCTGCACTCTTATTTCAGAGTCCTATTCAATCATTGTGTGCCAACTTTGACAAGTGTGGTCTCATTTTTTCCCAAAGTACCTTCAGATCTCAACAGAGGCACCTTGGCTGGGGTTAAATATTTGCGGGCCTTTGGTTTCATTCAATTATTTTCATCCATATCATTTCTATCAAACTTGGGACTCTTTTTATTATTGGCTAAAGAAACGGGACTTCATATAGATTCAAATATGTTTTTAAGTTATCATAAATAGAAAAAATGTGGGGGCTGACCCAGCAGGTCTGATGTTTCTGATGATTGATGTTGTTTTTAGTTTTTCTTTGTATTAGGGTTATTTTGAATAAAACTTATTATAAAAAAAATATTTTCATCCATATCATATGGAGATATAGCTGAAGCTCTCAGCTCTAGCACAACTCTTTTACAGTCTAATAACGTTAAGTGTGATCCACGTTTGGAAGCCCTCTTGGTGGAAAAGTGAGGAATCAGGTGCTGTACTTTCTTTTTGCGGCTCCTTTTGTAGGCCTTCACCTGGCATGGAGAGAGAGAGAGAGGTGGCCAGAGGGTTTTCCCCACCCGCTCCAAGTCTGTGTGATTTCATCTTTGTATTGTGAGGTCAGGCTGGGACCTTCCTGATGTCGTTCTCCTCCATGGGGCAGGCTAGCTTCATTCCTCAAGGCAGGGCATTGCAGAGCCTCAGCCCCAAGTGGCCACCTTCTGGGGCTGATGGGGAGTGTTCCTTCCCAGGTGGGGCTCAGCC